ATTTTTTTTTTTTATAGATATCGATTAATATTTTTTCGATACTCAAACAGTTTGAAAATTTAACTAAAGGGTTCCTCATATCTCATAAATTGTTATAATAGATTAGGTTAGAAATGTAAAAATATTAAAGATATGTAGATATATTTTTTTTTTCAAGTAATTAAAATTAAATGTTGACAAATTTTTTAAAAATCACKAAAATCTCGAAAATGTGTAAATTGTTTTGTAGTTAAAATTTACAAAATGCTCAATTTTTATGTCTAAGAAAATAAAGTAAAACAAGGCTTCTATTAAGTAGTTAATATTTTAACCWACAATTCTAAAAAATTATATTAGCACAGTTTTTTTAAAGAAGATATTTTTTGTTAAAATTTAGATAAAATAAAATATTTATACGAAGAATAATCATTATCATATTAGTAATAACAATAATATAATAATACGATAAAAGTGTAGACAGTTATCTTATATTAATATTGAAATACTAATCTTAATACAATAAATAAAATGCTTTCGGCAAAAATGAAATCAACCTTCTATTATTATATGGTAAGTATAAATGTATAATAATAGTATTTTAAAAAACTATAAAGTATAAGTTAATTTAATTGGAATATAAAAATCATATATACTTGATATAGGCCGTCAGAATCGTTTTTTTATATAATATAATGTCATAATATACGTTTCATTAAATTCCAATTTAACACATCCATTACAGGTAATTCACTCGACACCTTCTGTTGATTGGTACCCACTTGCCACCTGTGTTTTATTTTATATTTTTTTTTTGCCAAGAATTACATGCTTCCTAGATATTTTATTGCTATCATATTCTTATCGATATCACTATAATTGCTGAAAATTAAGTTAATTATCACTTACTTATGGAAGATATAAGCCATAAGGAAGCATTATGGTTCCGTATATTTATTTATTCGAGAGGATTTGTAAGTACCTACTTTATTAATAATTTAAATAAGTTTAACCCATCGTTATCTTTATTGCCAATATAACATCAAAAATTACGTTATTGAAATAATTTAGGTGCCTATATTGCTATGCTTGAGTTATGCTGCACTAATTTATTTTATCTAGCCACTTCTAATATTAATCGTCCTTATTCCTTACTCCTTAACAATCATTTATTATTAAGTAATTTAAAACCGTTTTAATCTATTTATTTCACATATTCTAATATTGAAAAAAATTGTCATTTATATTTTAATATACCTAAGTTATGATAACTATATTTTATAATAATAAGATATATAACTTTTTAAACTATACTTATAATTTAGGTATATAATACTTCAGTCTTCAGTTAATAGTTACCTAATACACATATTACTGATTGTTTAAAATGTAGTATTTCATAAAAATCGGTTTTCGATATCTGATAATTATGTAGAACAATCAATTGTTTAAATCTATAAAATAAATGAACAGTGATCATAATAATTTATCATAATCCTAGCTAATATCTTGAATGTTTCATGTTTAAATTCATGAATACTTAATAGTAGGTATATTATAGTATCTTAATATACTTAACGATAATTTTATAACTGATTTTTCAAAATATTTAGGTACACAACTCTATAAATTGGTCAACCCAGAATACTATCAAACATTTTTATACTTTTATAGATAAACCAGTGCACATCGTAGCCCGTTTAAATCCTACCTCTTATATGTCTCAAACTGTAAGTTGAATTCGTTTTCTGTGATTATAGTATAGCAGTATATTTTTATATATGTATATAGATAGATAACGGTTAAAATATACTAAGGATAATCTTACAACGATATTCAATTTAGCTTAACATTAATTTTATTCGTTTTACCGAGAGAAGTCTGACAATTCAAATAATCAATTGAATGATACTTGGGTCAATCATTTTTTAACTTAGCCYATCTTCTGCCCATAGGTCTAATATATCTCTGTACCAAATTTCGTCACAATCAGTCCAGCAATTGGAATAGGAATTCATAAAGGACAGACAGAAACCCATTTTTATATAATAATACACGACAATTCCTAATAGAGGAACAGGAAGGAAATGATATCGCCTAGGAATTGTAATAATTACTGTACTTTATTAGTGGACCAGCTTTACAATGTAACTAATTAGAACGATAACTAACTCACAACGCTGACATGCTAAAAAACGCATACTGCCACTACTGTCGCAATATTGTCCGTGTTCTAAAAATTTAGGCGCTGAAAGTGGATTTTTAAAACATATATCAGAGATATCATACACGAGATCAGAGATAAATCCTTGCAATGCAAATTTATTGGATCTAACAATTATTTTAGAATTATTACACAAATTAAAGTGATAAAAAAAAAGTTAGGTATGTAAAATACAATATATATGTATATTTTCATAGAAAACTTAACTTTAATAAGCATAAAACAAGTTTGAAATTTTTTAATAGCATGTACGAGCATCAATAAAATTATAAAAATCATCTTTTGTAATTGTAATGATCGCCACTCTTAACGACTATAGGTAATACTAAAATGAGTGTCATCATCATGTCCCTCATCAACATAATATATTATATTATAATATGGTATAATACAGCCACACAGATGTTTATATTATAAATAAACATCTGTGGTCATATATTGTTATGCCCTTTTATACAAAAACCGTTCTATCTGCAGTGCTCGGACGATACCCTTCGACCATCGGCCAGATATATACAACGACACTCTTCCTGCGTACGCTCTTGGCGATAGATATGCGCGGTTAACTGTTCAATGTATTTTAAATGTAATTTTTCTGTGTCTTAATAAATTCTCTTTTTAGATACCTCTATAAATTAATAGTTGTGCTGTCAATTAATATTGAATTATAAATTAATTAATGTTGAACCTACTTCTCCTTCCTTCGWCCATCAAACACTTAGAAAGATTTCAGCCGAAGAAGGGTAAGTTAATTTAATGTGTAAGTAATCATCATATGCATATATGTATTTGCATGTGTGTACATATATACATATAAGAAGGTAGTAATCTGGAGTGTGTACGCGATATGCACAAGAGAGGTAAATACAAATATATATATATATATATTGCAAGTTCACCTTTTTTTACATTACTAGGTACATAGTCATTAAAAATAATAGATTATGCTTTTATATTTGGATATGAAATAAACAATTTAGGATCGTAAATTCATACCCATCATTGTAACTTAATAAATACAATTGTTAAAATATTAAAAAAACTATTGGATTTTCGAGGATTACATAATCAAAGGTTAAGATTAAAGATATGCTTTGGTTTTAATACTGTTTTCCTCTTCAATTTGCACGTGTAATCCGGCAATAAAATGAGATTGTATATATTATAATCAWTTAGGTATCATAATTGCAATACATATATTGCAGTTTAATTTAGCATCGCGTAGTGGTGATTTATTCACGCATATTTAGCGATCAAGCATTTGTGAGGAAGTCAGAACTTATTGTTGAAACATGCAGAGTTGGTAAAATATCTTAGATAATTTTTGATTAAATTTTAATATAAGGTCTAAATCAATTTAAACTTTTAAATAACATTCAAATTGTAATTATGAATTTAATCGTGAATAGCTTATAATTATTTCGATTTATTAGTTTATTTTTTCAAATAGACTTATTCATTATTGTCGAAAAAGGTTGTTTATTAAAAGTTTAACGTAATTCGATACTTAATACGATTTCAGAACGAACAATACTATGGTACATGACTTTTTGGGGTTTTGGAATGAATTTCATGCTACGCATGAATCTCAATATAGCAATAGTGTCTATGGTTCGACCAATAACTGTGAAAGATGGATTAAAAAGCGAATACTACGAAAATCATAGCCTTTCGCATAATACATCGTATTTGAGTGACACTAACAAAGATAATGTAAGTATTATTTTTACAAATATGTATTAGGTAAAAAGTTGGTAAAAGGTACATAGTGATTTATGAAATATGYTGTGATGATGTTGCATTACGAATTTTAAATAAAAAATAGAAAGAGATACCAAATATAATAATATTATCGTATGAAATTTTAAAGGTCAATTTATAATTAATCCCATGCCATTATTGATTATTAGGTATTTAGTAGTTTATGATACTGATTAARCTTTGATAACTATTAAATTATGTAGGTATTAATAAATAACTGGTGTAAATTGAGTCAGGTCAATAATCATACACAGTGCAACAACTGTAAACCACTGTAATTGATGTTAATACTTTAAAAGTGATATTCCTCAACACGGCAACACGTAATGTTTCATGTGTGTAAGACTGTAAACGTCTGTTTACAAATTGATAGAATAATTGAGGTAGTCACAAAGAAACATTGAGTAATAATAGCATACATAATAGCATACCAACAGCTTATGAATCAAATTGAATTGATCGTGATTTTACAGCTAATTTTTCATAATGTTGATTTTTTTTTTTAATTATAACAGTAAATACTAAATAGTAAATAGTAGGAGTAGTATTGTGCAAACAGATCCTCCTCTGTTGTCGATTCTAACAGGAAAAAAAAAATAGTAAATAGTAATAGGTACTATACGAATTTCTCAATTCAACAGCAATATTGATAATTGAAAGTAGATAGGTACCATATGTATTTTCACGATCTATACGATATTAAAGAAAAAGACATCTTGAATTAAATATTTTAGAAATTACCGCCAAAGAGTCTAATTTTTTAGTATGAGATATCTTTAATTATTTAATATTATTTTTGGCTTAGATTTTATTTAATTTTTTWATTTTGCTAAGATTACGGCACAAGTACTGACTCTGTTAATGAATAATATGTGACATAAGTAAAAAATATATGAATAGTATTTGACATTAATTGTTGAGTATAATCATAGAAGCAGTGCTTGATTAAGTTAGGTYTGACGAAGTTCTAACAACACACTTATATGTAATACTGATATATGTATATATATTGTATAATATTAGTTTTTAACCTGGTATTTTGCTTGGAAATATTATTCTTAAATTAATTTTCAATCCCGTTTTATAATAAAATTGATTTTATTTGGTAACTCTTATAGGACAATGTTTTCGAGTGGGATGAATACCAACAAAATATGGCTAAAGGATCATTTTTTTGGTTACATATGCTGTTACAAATCCCTGGTGGATTATTGGCACAAAAATTCGGAGCTAAATCCATATTTGGCTTTAGTAACGGTTTAGTTTCTCTACTCACTTGCGTGATACCTTTGTCGGCAAAATTTAATTTCAATGTTTTGATTTTAATACGAGTTTTTCAAGGTCTCATAGCTGGATTAGCGTGGCCATCAATGCATGCGATGGTGGGTAAATGGATACCTCCTCATGAAAGAAGCCGTTTCGTGTCAGCATATTTAGGTATTTATATTTTAAAATTAGTTTACTCATTGTTATTTTTARAATATAATTTTCAATTATTAAAAWTTTTTAATAATGCTCTGATAACTTGCTGACSTGGGTAAGTACTTGGCTCTGACATTTGAGAAAAATCGATTAATAGATAGTTTGTCGATATAKGTTACACATTTCATAATGAATAACATAATAAAATAAATGCTACGACGCAGGCACACGTTTTATGGATTTTAAAATGAAAATAATATCAGTGTAAATAGAAAGTAAGCAATTTATTTATTAATAAATACTGAAAATTTCCAATTGGCAAATACCCAGAGTTTAAAATCGGTATGTTTTTGTTCTTATTGTTTTCCATATTTACTACTTACATAACATATATATTTGAATTAAAGCATGAAAAAGTTTATTTTACCATGGCCACGACCACAAAACAAAAGCAGCTGACTTGTTATTTTTTCACAGTATACCTATAAGTTATAATCGGAGCCCCCRCAAGAAGGGGGGGTGGGTCTGAAGAACCCATRGTACTAGGGCTCGGACATTTGAGGGGACCACCGTTTATGCAAATAATTACTTCAAAATATTACTTCAATASATATTAAAAAAATAWTCTGCGCTCGTACTTAGTTCTGTACCAGGGCCAAAAATATGATGTGGAGGGCCTGGGTTATAATTCGATAAATAATTTTTTATTCAACTGTAGTTAAATATGTTGTCTATAGTCAACTAAATGATACATAATATGTAGTTGACTGTAGTTAGTTGACTATATAAAATTTTTTTTAATACATTTAAATATATCACATTTTCGTTGACATTCTACTCGTTGGTTAAAATAATACATTTTCTACATTTTTAAAAGCGGTAAAACAAAGAATCCAAAATTTTTATTTGTTATACAATTTTAATTTTTCTGGCTTCTGATGCTGCGAACACTTGTATTATCTCTTCCATGTTCAATTCGTTAGATACACCTTTTTCAATTGCAGTAGTTGCCAGACAAACTAAACGAATTTGACATCATGTTTCGACCGCAAGCAGTAGATGAAAATCAAATAATATTATTGAAATKAAGCATACTCAGGCAATRCCGATGCGGGTGCTACATATTATATAATGTATCTTAASTTAATAATTTAAATATCAATGCGAAAAGTTTATAAAATATAATAATCTAATAAATAAGCATCAACTGTTGACTTTCCTGTCGGTACAACATGATTACGCATTTTTTACCTTTTTACCCGAAAAAACACAACACGATTGCGCACTTTTTAACTTTTTATATTTATTTTGAGCAAACACAACATAATTGTGCACAATAACTATTTTATTTGTCTGTACCCATTATACTTAATACCTTGTACCTATATATACAATCACTACGGCCAGTGGATACTAATACTATACCTATTAAAATAATATATTATTACCTACCTATAACTGATAGGTAAGTGTTTTCAAACGTGTTGCTTTCCAATGTATTCACATCTGATAATTTTTAGTCTTATTWAATCTTATTTAAAAATACATAACATAAAACAACAAAATATTAACAAGACTCCTAAAGAACAAGAAGAAAATATTATATTTCTAATTAATACGTGGAAAAAATATAAAAATAATGAAATATCGTTAAATGATTATTGACWGACATTGGGACCACGTTTTTGTGCTAAAAAGTTACAGGACTTTTGTTATTGTGACGTATAATATTAAATAATTATTTATTTTTACTAAACGTATTACATTATTATTAATGTTGGGACATTTTTGAATTATATGAACTTAGTAAATTTATGAATTTATAATTTTTTTTTTTTTGTGACGCACTAAGTATCAATATTTTTTACTTGGTAAGCATATTAAATTATTATTGTTGCAATTTTAATATTATTATTTTCTTTAAATCCTATAGCATAAAATTTTTATCTTCGCAATAATCTAGTTGTGTTTGCTCAAATATAAAAAGGTAAAAAGTGCGCAATCGTGTTACGCCCATAATATTCAGTATACTATGTATTTGTATTTTTACTTGTGCATAAGCCGTCTCAAACTCTCAACTAATACTAAATTTAGTTAATTGCGAGATATTGACTATTAAAGATAAAACATTTWAAATAAAATAWWTAACCATTTATTTTGCTCATCAATACTTCAAAACAGATTTTYTATTTTCGTGTTGGACTAGGGACTAGGGAGTAACACTTATTATCCTAAAAATGGCTCTGCCTACCTATACCAAGGAAATGCCTTTCAAACATATAGGCTTAGGCCTGTATAGCCTGTGCTTTCTGCCAGGCATGGGCTAGGCATTTAGCCATATGCGCAAAGGTATGAATAAATAATATATACATACCGGCATAATTATAAAATAATTGTATTCATAGGTTCTATCAYTTAGAATGGTTTTTTAGTTGTTACGGGTTAATGATTGTGATCCGAGGCTAAATAATGTAAAAATATTGGGCTTGCAGCCATCAATTAGTAGTTGAAAAAAAATAGACAATTTTTATAATAGGTGATTAAAAATAACACTAGCTAAATAATTGTTTGGCTATAATGCTGAAATTACTTTATTATTAAAAATTACATTTACTATCATGACATAATTTTATWTCTTCAATTTATTATTGATAGTTATGTTACTACATTACAAATCTAAAAATGTAAATTTTATTTATTACTGTGTAATATATATGTATATATAAAACTATTGTGACATATTGAGTTGCATAACACCCAGTTAAAATATTATTTGGAATAAAAATGAGAAGAATATTAATTTAACTAAGTAATTGATTAAATTGTTTTTAAAATACTAGATATTTACCTAGTAGAGTAGTAGAAATTATTATCTAAAAAACCTATACCTATCATATTTTATACCTTTGGCTTTTGTCATTGATTATCGTAATAAGGAGCTATAATAACTATAGACATGTACATCATAATTTAATACTTATAATAATTTGATTGATATAAAATTTGTGTGTTATCGATGTATTTTGGGCAATATTGTTGTGGGAATATTATTATTTACCCATTCTTTGAACGTGTTGGATGGGTTGTTGATGATATACTGTAATTAGTGACATAACTAGTAACGTTATTGGAATTGAGTCACAAGCAGGATCCCACGTCCGTCAAGTTGGCACCGGCACTTTCTCCAAACAACTCAAAATTGGTATCAAAATTTTGCTAC